AAAGGGTAGGTCATGGACGGGAAGACAGTGGAATCAAACCACCAGCAACAAGCCAAAAATTGAAAAGGCAGATCCTAACTGTGAGCTTGTTTAAGAAACCTGTTTTACAAAAGCTTAACCTTTAGAAACCTGTATAATTGTGTAAAGAGCCTGTTTAAAAAAAAGTATATTTGCTCTTCATTTAATATGCAAAGTTCAGTTTGTAGTTGTAGTAGTAGCTGTCATACATGTGCCTTGAAGCATGCACTCATCTTGCCAGTGACACATGAATATTCTTAGTTACAAGGTAAGAATCATCATGCTAGACTGTTAGGTAGAAACTGGGAAACAACAATATTTAAAAGATATACTCATATTTAGTTGTGTAGGACTTAACTAATTATAATATAGCATCTCTGCAAGAGAGAATTCCCTAAAAATAGCTTGTATTTCAATCAAATTCAGCCTCTAATTTGTCAAATTTAGTCTTTATTTCAAAGGTAGGTGGTAGTAAACTCCTGTACAAATTAAAGAATAAAGTGAATAAGGTATAATATTAGCCACTTCAACAACAACTATTATATGGTAACGTTTCTACATTTTTTTTATAAGTGATCACATTTGAATGAGCCAAAACCTTAAGTTGCCAATGAAGTACGTACAGCTTCAGTCCACATGACTCACTGAAAGGGTATATTTTACAGAATTGAGGACAATAAAGACCATTATTTCCTTTATTACAACCATGGTTTCACTGGTACACACATTATCAAATGTAGACTGGACTAGTTAGCTTGTTTAACTAAAGAACTGGGAGTAATTTTGACATTTACCCTGAGTGTGATGAGAATTGAATTGGTCATTTAGAGCTTTGTCTGGATTCATTTATATACATCTGTTTATGTATAGAATTTTAGGTTATTGAGTTTTTTACCTTTTTCACAGCCACATCAATTTTTTTTCCATAGACATTAGCAATCGATGTGTTTGAAGGAAAACAAAGTTTGATAATAAACAAGATTACGACACTTATGACATATAACATTGTTTATTAACAAAAAGGAGACATAGATAAACATTTATTTATTTATGTTTCCTTTTTGTTAATAAACAGTGTTGTATATCACGAGTGTCATAATCTTGTTTATTATCAGACATCTACATATGTTTTAATTAATAGAAAAACACAGCTCTAAATACTTGTAGTACTGTTTAGGTAGTTTAGAAATACTTTATTCTTAAATCAGATTTTATTAAATAGAGCTAGTGATATCATTATAGTTGTGATGTTATTACTTTTATTATTACAGCCTGAAGTGTCCAGAGATACAAAATCGATGATGTTGTATCTACACATGTTGGTAACATTTACTAATACTGCTACTTGGAAAATATTGAAAGAAAAGTCACGTAAGTATAACTGTCATTTTGTATTGTCTTAAAATTGTGTCCCTCTGTTAAAATAAAATACCACATATAAAAATGTGTACCGTGTTAGTTGGAAGACATTGTGCTGTCTTCTTTGTTTTTATGTTAAGATATGTTAATATTTAATGGGTTCTCTTTAATATAACATTTAAACTCTCATGTCGTTCTTCATATGTATTTGTTAATGTTTTTTATTTTCCTTTAACACAATTTTCTGAAACTTGTGTTTGTTTAAACCTTACATCTACTTTTCTACTTATTTAAGGTTGCATTTAATTTTTATTTTCTTTCAGGAGAGTCCTTGAAACCAGCCATGAACCAGCTTTGTAATAATGTTATGGGTCACTTGGTAACAAAAGGAATGTATGCGAGTCTCCAAAAGCTTCTTTACAAAGGCCTAGTACGTTCGAAACCCACATTGAAACGTGCAGCACTGCTAGCAGTTTGCAATCTATCATTAAGGCTAGTGAAGGTTTTTTGTACATCGTTTGTCAAGATCTACATGTAGCATTCTAACTCTACTATGTTTCTTGTATGAAACTGGAATTATCTGTATTTAGATACATTTTTTTAGAGTGATCGCTATGTAATAAATCCTTTCTATTTATGTGGAGATTAACATGTTTCTTACATGATTCAAGGCATTAAATGATATGCATTGTCCATCAGTGACAATTATTCACAAACATGTTTCATTATTTGAAACAGTGCAGTTCTTGTGTTTCAGAGTGTTGTTTCACTTGTTGATAGAAAAATACTTGTAAGTATATTTTTATAGCATAGAAAACAGTACTTCTGTAAACATGACACAACTTAAAATTTCTAAAGTAGTCACTCTAGTTTGATTCATTAACAAACAATCTGAATGACCATCACATGATGGGAAACGATTAATTTTTCTTCTCAATATTATATCTAAGTAAATGTTTTACAAACATTTTTTCTAAAAATTAATTATAATATAGTAATAATATATGTATGGAGAATGATTATCCTATTTCTAGTTTATCATGAAAATAAAATTTTTTGTATGTATTTGGTAATTTTTTTAAAGTATTGCTTGATTAGCAATTTGGCTTCTGGTGTGTCTTGAAACATGCGAAAAAACTGACTCTCAAAGACATATTCCTATTTGGTCAACTTTATGACCCTGCAAATTATTAATTGTGATTGTAAAGGCAGTGAATTGTATTCTGAATTTCAGGATCTTCTCTTCAGACTGTCTTCTTGGTTTTTGTTTTGTTAGTCTGCTGGGATTTAATTTGTGCATTTTCAAAATTGAAATGTGCTACAGATAAAACATGCAGGTTATTATAAAATTGTAGCCAAGGGTTCTGATTAGACAAAATTGGTGATGTTGAAAATTAGAAGTTGAAGTGAAAATATTTGTTTTTCATAAAAGTTTTAAATTGTAAGTGAATATGAGGTTTTAGAGGATTATTATCACTATAATTTTATTTCTATGTTTAGGACACTTACAGCATATCAGTTCTCCAACAACTACATGAACTTGTTCCTTCTTCACATTCTGTCAATACCAGCTTTTGTGTACCATTTAACCAACATATCACCCGAGGTAAGATCTTCTAGCATAAAATACATTTTAAACAATCTTGTAGTACCAGAATGTACCATAAGTTTCCACCCCTTTAGTTAAAAAGTAAAAATTTTCAAAATTATGTTGTTTTTCATAGTTCACAAGATAGAACCCAACAATGTTCAGATAAGTTTCTAACTTTCACTTTCATTAAGGGATGAAATAATTTAACTGAAGATTAAGTAACCAGTTTGTCTGATTCTATTATGGTAATAAAATCCTTGTTTTTAATTAACAAGCTGAGTTATTTTTGTCAGTGAATCAGATAATAGATGCATGTGGACTTGACCTTGATCTTCACTGCCCTTGGCCAGCTGATTTAACAAGCAACAATCACTTTTTTATGTGTCAAGAATTTGAGAGTTTATTGACATATTTAAAACAGTGTTGAGGCTTAGGAGAGCAAATGTAACGTAGATCTTGCAGAGATTTGACATAAGGATTACAAAAATTTTGCATAGTGTTCACATATAGTATCAGAGATGAAAGCAGATGTGACGTAGATCTTACAGAGATTTGGCCTAACAATTTTATGCAGTATTTACACAGAGTATTGGAGATTTTGACATATGACTAAAACAATATTTTTACAGTTTTTCCCTAGCTTCTATTTGTATGAAAGTACTGTACAGTTCTCTCTTTCAATTTAGTATATTTTTCTATTGTTTTACACTCCAAGAACTATTCCTCTCTTGACATTAGTTAACTTTCTTTCTTATTTGTGTGGGCACCACTTGGTTTTTGCCTGTAATTTAATTAGGTTGTTTACATTCATCATGACCAAACCATATACGAGTTCCTTCACAAGATAGTGGATCTTAGGTTTGTATTTAAAGTACAGATAATTTTGTAGTGAAATCCAAGTTCACAAAGGTTAAATCCTAGATTAAGTTACAGGGAGGGAAGAACCTGCACCAGCAAGAGTTCATTTGTCTATTAAAGTCTTTTTTGCTCTTTCTAGTCCCACACTCTTTTTTTTTATGCACAGATACAAGATCACTTGCCCTGCTGTTTGTTGTGTTGTAGTGCATTATTATTTGTATATTAAAGTATAAGGCTGTCATTAAAAGTTTGTTCTTTGTATAAATTTGTGTCTTGTCCCATCTCTTTCTCTGTGAACCAACTATCACAACTCATTGGGAAATATACAACCAAGCCCGAGATTTGAGAATCTCCAGTAATTACCAAACCTAACTTTTCTCCTTTGCTAGTCATCCATGAGATACCACAGTCTTAAAAACTTATAAAATTTACTGTATTATACAGTTTGAATTATTTTATCACACAGAACAATATTGAAGTTTTTTTCTTAAAAAATATTTCTATGTATTCCACTAAAGTTTGTACAGAGTTTTAAATGTGAAATGACAGTTTTTTCATTTCCTCTCTAAGTATAAGGAATTGTTTTTAAATGAATTAATACTTGAACATTGTTAATGTTTCCATTCCAACAGCTTTTTAAGACTAATATTCTTAACTTTTTAATCAACAGTGTGTCACTTTCTTGATGAATCATGATATTTTAAAGAAGTCATTACAGCTTCTCTCAACTGAACAGAACACCAGAGTTATTTTTAATGCTCTTGAAGGCAGCTATGCCCTTTGTCTACTAGGTACGTGTTGTGCTTATGAAACCAAATAAAATGGCTGCTTTTCAGTATTCTAAGTTAGTTTGTTATATATATTTTTTTTTAATTAAAGACTTAAACTTATTGCATATGTTATCGTTGAAAAGTTTTAATTTGCCACTCCAAACCCTAATTACATATGTATATACATATTTATTGTTCAATTTATTATGGGGATTTATTAAGCTTGTAGTACATCAGGGTAGATTTGCTGTAAAGGAATAAGTCAAGAAAACTGGATAAAAGAAAAACATGAGAAAGCCACATATTTTTTGTACTGTAAATGAACAATCTTGTTAAAGCTTTAGTAATAAGGTTTACCACATACATTATTGAGTTATAGTTTATACTGTTTAGTTTGTGTGAAGAAAGAAAATCTAACATCATAAACCAATAAATAGAGCACATTACGATTCCTTTAACAAAAATAATTTTGCTCAGTTCAACGTTGTGTTTTGAAGCTGAAATCAACTAAATGAAAAGCAAAATAATTGAACAAAATGAAAAATTATTTGTAATTTAAAAATGTCTCTTTTTGTTTTAAACTTAAATTTATATCAAAAGTAAAAAAAAAACTATATTAAGCTGTCATTAGTTCCTTCAGATTTGAGGTAACTCCAAACTTAAAACTCATTCACTGGCATAAAGAGCTTTAAGTTTTAATTCATCAGTCTCATTAATTAATAATATTTACATGTTTAAGCTAGAATATAAAATTAATTAAAGATAACTTTCAAATTAATGCTGAAACTCAATTTGATTAAATAGGTGTAGTCGCTAGTGGTCCATTAGAAATTTTGTTTAAAGTTTTTTATTATATCATTTCACCATTTATATGTTTGACAGGAATTGAAATAAACAAATAATAAATAAAGTAGAGTCATTGTGTTGGTTTAAGTGAAAATTATAAAATTGAAAGTTACCCAATTAAATCTGTCTTTCTGAAGTTAAAACAAAACTAAGTAAGTACTTAGTTACACTTGTGGCTGCTTATTTTGTTATCGTTTGTGTTAGTGAGTGAAATATTATTTATATCATTAGATTAAAATCCACTTGTTTTTAGTATAAAAGGCTTAACAAATGTTCAAAATATGAAATATTTCCATGACTAAACTTGAAAATTAGCTTAAAAGGCTATTATAGCTCCATTTTTTTCCAGCAACTGATCATCTACATTTATGAAAACAAAATGGTCTGTTTCTGTTAGCATAAATAATGGGGGTTTTATCTTATTTTCTTCTTAGCAAATCTTATAAACTTGGCAAACAAAGATCTGGAGGTAAGTAGAATCTGAGTATAGTGGTGAAGAGTAATTAGTGTACAAATATTGAAATAAGTACATGTTCCTGGATACTATTTGCTAGTTTATACATTTCTTGTATTTTTTAATACAATTGATCTACATAGATATGAAAAACATTTCAATACATGTAGTAGTGTTAGAAAAAGAATTTTCTTAAATTTATTTATTGTATGATTGACAAAAATCAGACATCTTATATTTTCATGTAGATGGAAAACAAAGCTAAAATATTCACACATCAGCACAGATATTAATACTTTAAAAAAACGATGTAAGCTCATCCAACCTGTGAGTGACCGTTAGAGAAGAGGAATCTTAAAAAACAGGTTTTATGCAGAAATTATAAATATAAAAGTGTAGAAAAGTAGTATACAATCCAGTTGTATGTTGTGGTGGATGTTAAACTAAAAATATAATACACAGTGTGAAATCATGGTTTTGTTTGCAATTGATACTTTTAACTCTTTTTTTTTTTTGAGACCCAGGTGTGTTGATTCAATGCACACGTTGTATGAGTTCATTTTATTGAAAGAAGAAAACTCCTCAATGAAATAGTTTGAAACTTCAGAATTACTTTCTACAGATTATGTAGCTTTGGCAGATAAACTATTTTATTTTTATATGTGACATTTGTATGAATTTGTAACTTTGAACTTTTAAAAAATTTATTGTGATGTTTTTATTTAAGAAACAATTTAAAATGGTTAACTTTCTCATAGACCTTAATTACTGGTTTTTATATCTACCTATATTCTTTTAAACTTCTGTATAAAGAACTGTGAATTTTATATTTGTTTTGATTTTTAAAACAAGGTACAAAATTTGGTAGTATTTATAATAACTTTTAAACCTTATTTATATATTTGTTTTTACATTTCTTTTTGACGTTTTTCTTTGCCCATTGCAGTAGTTTCTTAGGCTGATAAAACTAATGCAAACAAGGCTTAACACACTAGCCTTGTCAATGAAATTAAACTTGATATGGTTGAGAGCAAAATTATTTTACTAAGCCTACCTCATCTTGTTCCACAAAATATTTTCTTGTCATATCATAATTAAATAAAGTATGAAATGATAAAGCAAGCTTTTTGCAAGCTTTAAAAGAAATTGTAGTGGAAGTTGTTCACTAGTAACTTATCTTCTAGCAACATATCACCAAATTAAGCATTTCACACTTTCTTCTTACCTCTGTGCAAATTGCTACTGAACTGAAAGTGGTATATTTTTTACAGTTCAAGCAAACAGAAAAAAGAACTTTTATGACATGTTTAGATCAGTATCCTATGACTTCTTGAATTTGAGATATAGACAATGGCATCACACTACGATAACAAGTTTGAGAAACAGTGATTGGCTAAAAATTGATAAAACTACACTTGTATTCAAGTTACGAGGACAGATTAATGCTATTTTGTTCAAAACTATTATGACTTTCTTCCTTAGAGCCACGAGCGACATACTCTGGCAATTCTCAACCAGTAACGATATCATTGAGAGCTTACTGAAGTCAGTCTAAAATCAAAATTTGTAATTTTCTTTATTTTTATATATAGAATTAAGTAACTAAAAAAAAATTTTAAGGAGTAAATTTCAACTTCAAAATGTTTTAATCTGTATGTGTAGAAATTACTTTAAGTTTATTTTCTATAATCTTTTTAATCCAGTGGTGCAATTTTGCCCTCAGGGTAGGCTTCACACATCAAGGCATTGAAAAATTAAAATTTCTCATAAAATGAGTTGAAATCCTTAAAAGAAGTATATGAAGCTGCCAATTCTTGAAACTTGTATTTTAAAGCTTACTTAAATTTTCACAATTTTATGAAAAATTGTAAACTGAGGGTATGAATTCTCTGCATGAATTATGAGCGTTAACACTGAGGCTTGTTTATTTCAATAGATCACATCTGTAATATTATTTATTTATTTTTTTCATAAAGCTTCAGTTAAACAACTATGTAAAAGACATTTGATGGTGATTCTTAGTAAGTGGCTTAAAAGGTTTTACAAAATAATACTGTAAGCTTGAAACATTAGTAAATATATATAATAGTTGAAAAATAACTTTTAGATAAAATTGTGAGAAGTAGAACCTAAAATTACATTTTGAATATAATATGCATTGCTGCACCTATATTAAATTTTTAACAGTTTGTTGTATAATAAGTAAACTGAGTTAGTCCCACAGATATGGTGAAAATTGTACAAACTTTTCTGAACTATCAAAGAAGAAGAATTGGTTGTGGTAGATTGGTTTTAATGTCCGTGATTAGGAAGCATTATAACAAGAAACATATGCAATAATCAATATGAAAATACTCATGGAATTAAATAGACCAAATTTGAGGTGTTTTAGGAGAGAAATAGCTCAGCAGTTGGAAATTGTTAGTCCAAACAAAAAATAAGTGTGTGTTTTGTTTTATTTTAATTATAGCAAAAACCAACTGAGGTGTAACTACAGCATTAATAAGCTCAAGCACATTAATTTCTCATAGGTGTTTTTATTAAAGTTTTGACATCGTCTAACTGTGTAAAACCCAAGACATGATTATTTGTGTGTGTTGTGCCGAGTAGGTAAAAAAATTTTCAAAGGTCAAAATGTATGCTGAAATGTTTGATAAGAATTAAACATTTTGAAGCTGTTTTAATTTTCTTTATTTTAGAGTCTTTCCCCAAATATCCTGGATTTTGTTGTAAGTACTCGTGTCATTTTTCTTTGAATTTTTAACCAAATTGAGCTGTATTAATGATGAAGATTTGTATAAAATGTATTTTCTATTCATCTCAAAGTTGCAAAAATGGTAGTCTTCAAAAACTGAAGAACAGTTACAGCCATAATTCACATATGTTAAAAAAAAAATCACTTGAAGGATAATCTGTTGAATAATCTATAATGGATATTCTAATAGTTATAGGCTTATAAGTTTACCAAATTACAAGTGCATTCCGAGTGATTTGTTTATTCTAAAGTTTTTCTAACTTTGACTTGATTTTTGTCTAAGATCTGATGTGTTTATAATATACAGTGTACTGTTTATTAATTGATGTTGTTATTTTGCACGGATGTATTATATGTACAGTTCTAACAGGCACAAATGTGATCTGTAATTAATTTTAGATTTTTTCCTACACATTTGAGATTAGATTTATGGACATATTCCAACACAAACATGGTGTTCACAAAGTTAAATAACAAAATTATTCTTACAAAACTTTTTCTGTCATGATATTTGTTAAACACATCTTATAGAAGAATTATGTTACTTATGTATAATTCTATGTTTGCAGAATGTTGTCACTCGTCTGATTGAAAGTTGCCAGAAATATGTAGTCAATAAACAGTCCAATTTGACTCATTGGCATCCTATTTTGGGTTGGTTTGCTCAGACAATAGATCGAGGGTAAGTGCACATTAAAAGTTCCTCTTATGATAATGGATCCTAAATTGAACACATTGTATAAAATTTCGTTTTGGTACTTATTTTTTAAGTGCTTATGTTAGCAATATGTATTATCTGAACTAGGATGTAATTAACTGAAAATTTTAATAAACTGTATGGTTGAAATTAATGCATCATCATCATGCTGTCTGTATTGCTTAAAATGTTCTACATGTTTTCGTTTTTTTAATTTATGTTTAATTGATAATATTGTTTTAACTGCAAATCAAGTGACATTAATTTAGTATAGCTTTATTAGAGAACTGAAAACAATTAGCAAAGTTGTTCCATTTAAGTGTAATATTTTGAGTAGAACTCTTGTAATTAGGTATGTAAGTATTTTGTATATATAAGACTATAAATTGAACTTTTCCTTGAAAATGTTTGTAGATTAAGTAATAATGAATATTATAGAAATTACAATACCCCTTTATACTAAGTATCTGGAAAGTTAAACATTAAAATTGCTAAAGGCTTGAATGATCTTACCAAAGGTTCCGTGAAAAGTTACAAACACAGTTTTGCTCATTTTAAACTTGTAAGTTTAGAAATTAATCATTTATAAATTTTAATTGTAAATTCAAGTTACTGTTTTAAAATTTTTCTAAAATTAATAAGCTATTGTCAATTTTATACAAAAGACTTCCTAAATTTATCTTACCTTCTTTGTCAAACTTTATTCAAGTAGTTTGTTTTATTAAGATGTTTTTTTCTTTATAAAACATCTTTATATTTTTGTCTTTAGCAACAGTTCTAAGATTTCACTGACAAGTTTCAGGACATCTAAAGAAACAACTTTTACTAGAATGTTTGTTTTTAAGTCAAAGTATATATATTGTTGATTATATATTAAGTTGTAATTATATCATATATAATAATATTTTTTTCTTATGTGTCCTTTTACCTGGCCAGGTGGTTAGGGCACTTGACTTGTAATCTGAGGGTCGTGAGTTCGAGTCCCTGTCTCACCAAACATGCTCACCCTTTCAGCTGTGGGGGCATTATAATGTGATGGACAATCACACTATTTGTTGGTAAAAGAGTAGCCCAAGTGTTGGTGGTGGGTGGTGATGACTAGCTGCCTTCCTTCTAGTCATTCATTTCTAAATTAGGGATGGCTAGCATAGATAGCCTTCATGTAACCTTGCATGAAATTCAAAACAAGCAATTCATTTTATTACATTATGTGCGAAAAACTTTGGTAGATACTTAGTGATTATTTTCTGCATTTATCAAAAGGGAAAAAAATGAATTGGAATTCCTGTGGAAAACAAGAAAATTTAGATCATGTTACACAGCTAAATTAGGGATGGCTAGTGCAGATAACCCTCATGTAGCTTTCTCCGAATTCAAAACAAAACAAACCCAATCCTTACAACGGTCTTTCCAACATTACAATATGCATTATAAACACACTACTTACCTATACTGGATTAATACAAGATTATTGTAAGGACAAACAAGTGATATCAAGATTTATTAAGTTCAACAGAGGATTAGGTTTAGACCAGTGTCATACAACAGCAAAGAGTTTTTGTAATAATGGGAGTGTTTAATGTATTAAGTTCATATCGTAATTGTCTGAAATGTATCATTTGATTTTCATAAAAAAGATTATAAGTAAAGCAACAGTATGTGAAATATTTTGGATGTTTTTTATACATTAAAAACAGAAATAATTAACTCCTACACTTTTTAAGTTTAAAATGTCTTTTGATTCTGTAAGATTAGGACTTCAGGTGGGCTAGAACTAATTTAGCAGCTTTAATAGTTTATCGAGTAATTGTGTGTTAGTTCTGACTTTTACATTTCCATGTGGAGACGTTTTTTAGTAATTGTTTTTTACATAATCCATCTCTTCAAAATATTCGGTATTATTAAACTTAACAGGCTTATTTTTGAATATAGCAAAAATAATGAAATTATGTTGAACAAAAAAAAGGTACACATTTAATCTTGTTATCATTATATTTATAAACTGTGTAATTTTACCGACAACCAGCAACTCATGTATTCATGTTTTATGTTTTTAGTCTTCATGAGTCACTAGTGTATGTAAAAATACAACTTCAACTACTGTGGAGTGGATCTTTTGTCAAGATGCTCTTTGCTGGGTTGTTTGAGAGTCTAGCAGCCACAAGGTCAGTGGAGGCAACTCCCACAACGTCTCAACCTAGCTCACCAAATAGATCAACTAGTACGTGTTCTGCAACTCCTTGCTCAGGTCTATATTCTGAGTAATTACTGAAACTCATAGTATGAGCATGTTATCTAAATCTATTCCTTGATCTGTATTTCAGTTGAATTCAGATCATTGTTTATAAAATTCACGTGATTAAAACTCAGAGTAGGTGATTTCAAAACTGTTTCTGGCTTTCTGCCTTGTTACTAGAAGTTTTGTTAAATATGGAAATCTCTACATAACACATTTAAGTTCAATACACAATATAGTGTTTATAACTGGGAATTTTTAAAGACTTAACTGTGCTTTTCCACATCAACTTTATTATGATAATAAACTTCACCACCGAGATTAGAAATATCTCATTACTGTTACCACAATAATATATGGAATATGAAGTTATATTAAAATTGAATTACTTTGTGTAAAATATTTGAGAAAGCCACAATCTCTGAAACGTAGGCAACTTATCTCGCATATGTTATATTTAACATAATTAAATATTGCCATAAGATTTCTTCTCAGTATTGTTATCCAAAATATCTGTGTGTATGTTAGATCTCATACATTCCCTCTGTCTTTAAGGTTTACTGAAGAAAGCCTTTGAGAGAGCTTCATCTGGAAGATCCAATTCGGTTAAGTACAAAAGACTTGGAAGTCCAGAGACGACTATAGTAGCAATGTCTTGTTGTTTATATGAGACAGCACTAGCTACACTTAGACAAATGAGACTAGACATTCTTACTGGTAAGAATTAAATATAGAAGGGGTATAATAAAACTAAACAGAATTTGCAATTGTTAAGGTTCCATGTAAAGATACTGCTAATTTTGGTGCTGTCAATAAAAAAATAAAATTAGTTTATGGCAGGAACATAGCTTTGCAAGTCTACACACAATGAATACTTCAAGGGAGGTATTTTACAGATTTTGTTTTTTAATTCTTGTTGTTGTGAATGGTTTGTAAATTATCTTGAACTGGACTTTTCAACACATAATTGGTAGACTAGCATCTCTTTACCTTAATTGTTACACATAGACTGTTTCTTGAAAAAATGCTAAAAGAGCTCTTTAATTTTTGTTTAATAATATTGCTTTCAAGGGGCATTTAGGTTTCATATTTCCACACGACCACCAGAACAAAAATCCTCAAAACTCAATTCACAAACACATTTAAGACTAATACACCAAACAACAACACAACATTACACTGCGGTTTTACATTTATCCCTGAGATTGGCTCAAAAATAATCAACACTTGGAGAAAACTTGCCATCAAATATAAAATTCCTGTTGATGTCAAATTCACCGAAAGTCCCGTCCCGGCACTAAACTAAAATCATTATTAACTAAAATTACATAAAATCACACAATTACAACATCATTTATAAAATAACATGCAATAACTATCCAGAATTTTATATCGGAGAAACAGGTAGAAAATTGGAAACCAAATATACTGAACATAATAAGAAACCCTCCCATGTTTACCACCATTGCAACTCAAAAAAACCACAGTACATCCATACAAAACACTGTAATTTTAAACAAAGAACCTAACATTAATAAACGCAATGTAAAAGAAGCTATCTTAATTGAAGAAAACAGTTTCATTCTAAATCAACACCCTGAGGTACCAAGATACCTATATTAGACTGTGAAGCAATATTCGATCGTGTGATCTCTTTGTTCTATACTGTATATATATATACTCATGTATCTCTGTAAACTACTTGTACCTGAGGATGACAAAATCTTGTCGAAACGTCGTACATTTATAATAAAGTTTTTTTCATTACCTAGTCAAGCCTTCTCAAAACCTTTAGGTTTCATATTTGTTTTCCTGGAAATTCCTCTTCCTCAATTTTAGTAATGAAAAAGTTAAAGAGACTGAGTTATTAATCTGAAAAACAGATTTATAAAGCCATGAAAATAGTTAAAATATCTGGCCATGTGAACACTAGAGCTATATCAGTGAAATACCAATCATTTAGCAGATTACTTCAAATGTAATGTTGTACTTCCAGTAAAACTGAAAACAGTTTTTTTTGCAATAGTAATAACCAACAGGTTAGACTCAATTAGCTGTATTTTTTGGCAAAAGTTGGAATACTGTGGTAATATCTAAGGATTTTTATTTTCAAATATGATATAATGAATGAATTTTGTACATAGCATATGAATTATAAGATCATCATCTGCAATAGTTTACATTAATGTAGCACTTTTCTAATTACACAATTAAGTTTTATATTTTAGATATCATTTTTTGTCATGTTATTAACAGCCCTACTCTTAAAGAATACCTATGAAATGTTAAAATGTATGCACATTACCCATATCAAATTTGCATAAATAACCTAACAATTAATTGTTTTATGTTAAAGGTAGTTATGAACCTGTTAAAAGAAAAACAAGTGCTCGTGGGAAAGTGGGATGTAATTTAAAATATGAATATTTTGCCGAGTCAGTACTAAAAAAGAATTATAATCTTTAAGCATTTGCACATAAGTATGAAAAAAATGATAGCATAAATTCACTGCATTATCAATGTAACATTTCGTACTTTGCAAATTAATCAGGATATCAAAACATTCACAGTTTGTGCCATTAGGCTTACTGAATGATGTGTAATTTAGGTTCCTTTGTTCGTGTATAAGTAGACTACCTGATTAGCCAGGATTATGTTAGTAAGCGACCGTCAATCTCTAAATTAAATCTTAAGTTCAGTTACATTTTAACTGAAATAATAAACAAACAGCCCCACTATAATAAACATAAAAAAAAACTTGTTTACTTCTAAGTAATTTCAGTTTGTAACGTATCTTTTACTTGTTAAGCACTATCAGTTGTTCGCACAGAACACTTCAAAATGTGTTGTTTTTGTATTATTTATAGGACTGTGTTATCAAGACATTGTGTTGTCAAATCTGTGGAAATTCATATGTAGTTTGGGACCTGGTGGAGGCCTAAAATCATTTCTTGATCATCTAGCTATCACATCTAAGATATGTACACCTGAATTGCAGATACTTATTTTATTCTGTGACTGTGCTACTCATCTCATCACGTGAGTCTTCCAGTTATTTAACTTCTGTTCTGATATGTTAGCTGGTGATGCACTAACTTTATACCACAGTGCACAGTTTTGTATTACTGAGTATAAACAGTATGAACATGTTTATTCAAAGTGTAGTTTGTTTGCAAAATATTTTCAGCCAGGTTATTCAATGACGGTGTAACAATATCTGAAGTAACCCGTTCATTTAGCGTCACCTTGACTCTGAATATCACAAATAATAAAAGTAATTTTAATTCCATACACACACACACACAAATCTAGAAGTTTTTGTACATTTGTGGTTCTTCAACTTTAAAGCATATGATTAGTTTGTTATATATATATATATATCATTCATTCTGTATAATGGTCAAGAAATGGGTTTGTGTCAGAAACATTTTTTTTTCTGATATAATCACTTTAGGATACTGGATGACATGGAGATGTATGATCAACAGAAACCTTTCAAACTAGAAGAACTAACTGCCATTTCTGCCTTTCTCAACCAATTAGTCTTCAAACTGGTGTGGAACAATTTAATTGGTGAGTAAAATTACTGAAAATGAAAGTGGAAACCATGTCTAAAAATTATGTTCTGAACAACTGAAGGATGTATAATACTGGTACTCTTTTGATACATTTTTAATGGGCATTTGAAGTTTAATCATATATACAAAAAACGTTTTTCAATAAGTACAATTATGAATCACCTGTACATTTAATATAAAAGTTTACAGTTTGTAGATTTATAATATCTGTGTAAGATATATATTCCAGTTTTAAGTTATCCTTAATACCAAAATGAAGTGGTTACTTTATAGATCTAAAAACCAACAACAGTAATTATCTACTCAACTCAGCACATACGCTGTTAATGTTGCTGTACAAGCGTGATTGTCGACGTCCATATACTTCTCCAGATCATTGGCTTATCAAGTGAGTAACTCGTGTTCAGTTTAAGTTTAAGTTTGCTCATTGATTGACTATTAAAGTATGTAGCTTTTTTTTTTTAATGTTTAATGTAAAAATAAACTTTGATAAACTTTATTATTTCTGTATGATGAATTAAACTCTGGGTTGAACAGTTACAATGAAATTGTAAGTTTGGTTCAATCTTCATGCTTGTGTTCTTGTTTCATTTTATGACTATAGGCTAATGTTAATGAGAGCAAGTTTGTAATAATATATATGAAAGGGTATTTTTATTTGTGTTCGTTACAGAAGCAGTAACTGTTACACTAACATGCAGTTGCTTTCACAGATGTATATATAAACAAAATAAAAATTATTGAAAAAATTTATGTGAATTATTAAAAGCACTGCTTATCCAATCCATTTAAAAACAAAAAAGATTAGCATTTGAAATCCAGAAAGAATGAAAAATCAAATCTTTGTGACCACTTTAGTTGCTTATTTTTATAATAATTTCCTTGCTTACAAATGATTCTATCCTTTGTAATTACAACTAGTGTTATCAGTTAGACATTGTGATAAAAAATAGAACTGCTATGTCTTTCATGTAATAATTACATTTCCAAATGAGTTGTTGTAGTCAATTTTCCATGCAGTTGGATCAGAGTTCACCCACAAACAGTTTATATGCATTGATGAGTATACATTTGTTCATAACAGAAAGAAGATATATGTGCTGGTTTTTATTAGCTTAAAGTAGTGACTATTACAGTACTGTCCAATTTTTGTAACTGTTTTAGAGATATCCGTGTAAGCAACTTCATGAGTGATTTGGAGAAAGGAAAGAAAGCTGCTCAGGTCCTGATGCAGAGAGTTCCACACATAATTCCACATAAAGAGGTATATTTAGCATAGCTTTTGGTGTGAATATTAAGTAGTTCCACATAAAGAGGTATATTTAGCATAGCTTTTGGTGTGAATATTAAGTAGTTCCACACATAATTCCACATAAAGAGGTATATTTAGCATAGCTTTTGGTGTGAATATTAAGTAGTTCCACACATAATTCCACATAAAGAGGTATATTTAGCATAGCTTTTGGTGTGAATATTAAGTAGTTCCACACACAATTCCACATAAAAATGTATATTTAGCATAGCTTTTGGTGTGAATATTAAGTAGTTCCACACATAATTCCCCATAAAGAGGTATATTTAGCACAGCTTTTGGTGTGAATATTAAGTAGTTCCACACATAATTTAGCATAGCTTTTGGTGTGAATATTAAATAGTTCCACACATAATTTAGCATAGCTTTTGGTGTGAATATTAAATAGTTCCACACATAATTCCCCATAAAGAGGTATCTTTAGCATAGCATTTGGTATGAATATTAAGTAGTACCACACACAGTTCTGCATAAAATGGTATATTTAGCATAGCTTTTGGTGTGAATGTTAAGTAGTTCCACACATAATTCCACATAAATGGTATATTTAGCATAG